CCAACAACACTAATGACATGATATGGCCAACAACACTAATGACATGATGTGGCCAACAACACTAATGGCATGATGTAGCCAACAACACGAATGACATCATGTGGCCAACAACATGAATGACATGATGTGGCCAACAACACTAATGACATGATGTGGCCAACAACACTAATGACATGATATGGCCAACAAAACTAATGACATGATGTGGACAACAACACTAATGACATGATGTAGCCAACAACACGAATGACATCATGTGGCCAACAACACGAATGACATGATGTGGCCAACAACACTAATGACATGATGTGGCCAAAAACACTAATGACATGATATGGCCAACAAAACTAATGGCATGATGTGGACAACAACACTAATGACATGATGTGGCCTACAACACTAATGACATGATGTGGTCAACAACACTAATGACATTATGTTGACAACAACACTAATGACATGATGTGGCCAACAACACTAATGATATGATGTGGCCTACAACACTAATGACATGATGTGGTCAACAACACTAATGACATGATGTGGTCAACAACACTAATGACATGATATGGCCAACAACACTAATGACATAATGTGGCCAACAACACTAATGACATAATGTGGACAACAACACTAATGACATGATGTGGCCAACAACACTAATGACATGATGTGGTCAACAACACTAATGACATGATATGGCCAACAACACTAATGACATAATGTGGCCAACAACACTAATGACATAATGTGGACAACAACACTAATGACATAATGTGGACAACAACACTAATGACATAATGTGGACAACAACACTAATGATATGATGTGGACAACAACACTAATGGCATAATGTGGACAACAACACTAATGACATGATATGGACAACAACACTAATGACATGATGTGGACAACAACACTAATGACATGATGTGACCAAAAACACTAATGACATGATGTGGACAACAACACTAATGACATGATGTGGCCAACAACACTAATGACATGATGTGGACAACAACACTAATGACATGATGTGGCCAACAATACCAATGACGGCTGTTACATGTCTTCGTACAGGGCAATGCGATACCTTCTCGATGTTCCAATCACGGAGGACGTAATTCAGATTTGCCGAGCATGTGCCTACCTTAGAGTCACGCAGACACGACACTCGACACCAGACACACGACACTCGACACCAGACACACGGCACTCGACACCAAACACACGAAACTCGACACCAGACACACGACACTCGACACCAGACACAGACACTCGACACCAGACACACGACACTCGACACCAGACACTTAGGACTTAATCCAGCAGGTATGTGACCTAGACGTGATCAGCCACGGAAAAGAATGGACGAATACACCAGTAGACATGCATGGCATCTCTAAGGTTGTCATCACACTCGGAAGGTACTGCAGGGATCAAATTCCTGCGGCGGTAGACACAGAAGTAAGGGAACTGATAGATCAGCATTCAGACCCAGAAGATACCATCATCTACACAGATGGATCTGTGAAGCGCGGATCAAGGTCAGCATGGGCATACACAGCGCAAAGAAAGGGGAAAACAATACATGAGGACAGCGGCGCTTACCAGACAACCACGTCAAGCATGACAATGGAAATAGCCGCTGCTTCTAGAGCTTTAGCATGGGTATCCGAGCAAACCGCCACACAGGTAGTAATTGTCTCAGACTCAATGAATATGCTTCAGAAGATAGCAACAGGCAGTATGCGCTCTGAATGGATAGAAAGCATCAGGAAATCGCACTTAACCTCCGTAACCTGGATCTACACACCGGGTCATGCTGGCGTGAAGGGAAATGAGCGAGCAGACCAACTGGCAAGCACTGCACTAATGATTGCAGGAAAAAGTATGGACAGAACAGACATAGCCAACGCTGTACGAACCGGGCTAGTGGAGAATGAGGAATCCCTGACACTAACACGATTGCGTGACATGGGAGTTAAGCATGGTGATGCACGTCTTTGCCGTCTTCGAGGCAAATGTGCAGTGACATTAATTGTGATAACAGAACATAAAATAACATCTTAGTAGGGAGTCGGCAGTACGAAACCCAAGTTCAAGGTGTCTCCTTCGTGCCAAAGAACTGCATGGCTGTTGGGTGAACAGTCGTTAACGAGGGCAGGCAGGTCGTTGTAGGGGCGACGCCTGCTGGTGGATGTAATGTCCTAAGTCCCTTCCCCAGCTAATAATGAGGGTACTGCTGGGGTGACCGTTTATTAACCCTCATATAATTTTTCCGGTCAAAATGGACGCTAGGTACGGCCACCTTTTTTTTTTTTTTTAAGCCGTGGCAAATATTTTTCCAGACGGCGGCCGTTGCATTTTTGCTCCATTTGTAGACTGGAAGGATGTAGTTTCGTCGCCCAGCTTCTGAGTTGAGTGCATGGCGTGACACTGTGAGCTGCGTTTGTTTTTCGTTGGCACAGGAGCGGAGCATGTGTGGGGTGACCCGTTTGCTATGAAGCTGAAACTAGGATTACCAGATTACCAGATTACCAGACACACGACACTCGACACCAGACACGACACTCGACACCAGACACACGAAACTCGACACCAGACACACGACACTCGACACCAGACACACGACACTCGACACCAGACACACGACACTCGCTGCCTGGTGACATTAGGAAGACACAGGCGCAGCAGGTTAATATTAGGAAAATCATGGATTGGTCAGGCCGAGGACATTATTCAGCAGGTGTGTTCACTTTAGGACATAGAACCTGGTGAGGAATGGGTACAAGTACCAACAGATGTGTTCACTTTAGGACATAGAACCTGGTGAGGAATGGGTACAAGTACCAACAGATGCGTTCACTTGAGGACAAAGAACCTGGTGAGGAATGGGTACAAGTACCAACAGATGTGTTCACTTGAGGACATAGAACCTGGTTAGGAATGGGTACAAGTACCAACAGAGTGCGGCACGACCGTTTCTGTTTGCATCCGTCTAGACAGAAAATGCAGGCAAGAGAGTTCAGTCGCTGTTGAGGGTGTAGGCTTTGATTTTCGAGACTTCTCTACAGGGGATGCTATCATTTAAACAGATGGGTCAGTAATTCGCCATGTGAGAAGCTCTTGGGCTTTAACGGCGCAGGCTGGAGTTAGAACTGTGGAGCAAGATTCTGGTGTTGTTGCATTGACCAAAAGTAGTCTGACTGTGGAGGTCATGGAAGTGACCAAAGCAATAACAGGGCTGGAGACACAGACCTTTTTCCGCGCATGTTTCTTACTACTCAATGGGTATGCACAGGAAGATTAAGATGGGCTGGATCTGAACACCGTGGGTGGATCCTCTAAAGCGGTCCGGGCTGACACAGTTATTTATTTGTGCCAAGACACACAGACGAGCAAGAAAATGAGCAAGCTAATCGGCTTGCAGGTGAGGCTACTGTCTTCCCTGGACAAGCCATAGACCATGTTGATATTATGAATGCAAAACGAGAAGTAAGTCTTTTGCCAAACCCCAATTGTAGTGTGAATCTGCCACAATGACTAGACTGCAAGAACAACATGGTAAAAGGGGTGTGGCCAGAGAAGAGCACTATGCAGGGAACCAGAGAAGAGCACTATGTAGGGAGTCAGAGAAGAGCACTATGTAGGGAGCCAGAGAAGAGCACTATGCAGGGAGCCAGAGAAGAGCACTATGCAGGGAGTCAGAGAAGAGCACTATGTAGGGAGTCAGAGAAGAGCACAATGTAGGGAGCCAGAGAAGAGCATTATGCAGGGAGCCAGAGAAGAGCACTATGCAGGGAGCAAGAGAAGAGCACTATGCAGGGAGCCAGAGAAGAGCACTATGTAGGGAGTCAGAGAAGAGCACTATGTAGGGAGTCAGAGAAGAGCACTATGCAGGGAGCCAGAGAAGAGCACTATGCAGGGAGCCAGAGAAGAGCACTATGCAGGGAGCAAGAGAAGAGCACTATGCAGGGAGCCAGAGAAGAGCACTATGCAGGGAGTCAGAGAAGAGCACTATGTAGGCAGTCAGAGAAGAGCACTATGCAGGGAGTCAGAAAAGAGCACTATGCAGGAAGTCAGACAAGAGCACTATGCAGGGAGTCATAGAAGAACACTATGTAGGCAGTCAGAGAAGAGCACTATGCAGGGAGTCATAGAAGAACACTATGTAGGCAGTCAGAGAAGAGCACTATACAGGGAGTCAGAGAAGAGCACTATGTGGGGTGTCAGAGAAGAGCACTATGCAGGGAGTCAGAGAAGAGCACTATGTGGGGTGTCAGAGAAGAGCACTATGCAGGGAGTCAGACAAGAGCACTATGTAGGGAGTCAGAGAAGAGCACTATGTGTGGTTTCAGAGAAGAGCACTATGCAGGGAGTCAGAGAAGAGCACTATGTGGGGTGTCAGAGAAGAGCACTATGCAGGGAGTCAGACAAGAGCACTATGTAGGGAGTCAGAGAAGAGCACTATGTGTGGTGTCAGAGAAGAGCACTATGCAGGAAGTCAGAAAAGAGCACTATGTGGGGCGTCAGAGAAGAGCACTATGAATGGAGTCAGAGAAGAGCACTATGCAGGGAGTCAGACAAGAGCACTATGCAGGAAGTCAGACAAGAGCACTATGCAGGAAGTCAGACAAGAGCACTATGCAGGAAGTCAGACAAGAGCACTATGTAGGGAGTCAGAGAAGAGCACTATGCAGGGAGTCAGAGAAGAGCACTATGTAGGCAGTCAGACAAGAGCACTATGTAGGGAGTCAGAGAAGAGCACTAAGCAGGGAGCCAGAGAAGAGCACTATGTAGGCAGTCAGACAAGAGCACTATGCAGGAAGTCAGACAAGAGCACTATGCAGAGAGCCAGAGAAGAGCACTATGTAGGGAGTCAGAGAAGAGCACTATACAGGGAGTCAGAGAAGAGCACTATGTGGGGTGTCAGAGAAGAGCACTATGCAGGGAGTCAGAGAAGAGCACTATGTGGGGTGTCAGAGAAGAGCACTATGCAGGGAGTCAGACAAGAGCACTATGCAGGAAGTCAGACAAGAGCACTATGTAGGGAGTCAGAGAAGAGCACTATGCAGGGAGTCAGAGAAGAGCACTATGTAGGCAGTCAGACAAGAGCACTATGTAGGGAGTCAGAGAAGAGCACTAAGCAGGGAGCCAGAGAAGAGCACTATGTAGGCAGTCAGACAAGAGCACTATGCAGGAAGTCAGACAAGAGCACTATGCAGAGAGCCAGAGAAGAGCACTATGTAGGGAGTCAGAGAAGAGCACTATATAGGCAGTCAGAAAAAAGCACTATTTAGGCAGTCAGAGAAGAGCACTATGTTGGGAACCAGAGAAGAGCACTATGTAGGCAGTCAGAGAAGAGCACTATGTAGGCAGCCATAGAAGAGCACTATGTAGGCAGTCAGAGAAGAGCACTATGTAGGCAGTCAGAGAAGAGCACCATGTAGGCAGTCAGAGAAGAGCACTATGCAGGGAGCCAGAGAAGAGCACTATGTAGGCAGTCAGAGAAGAGCACTTTGTAGGCAGCCATAGAAGAGCACTATGTATGGAGTCAGAGAAGAGCACTATGTAGGCAGTCAGAGAAGAGCACTATGTAGGCAGCCATAGAAGAGCACTATGTATGGAGTCAGAGAAGAGCACTATGTAGGCAGTCAGAGAAGAGCACTATGTAGGCAGCCATAGAAGAGCACTATGTATGGAGTCAGAGAAGAGCACTATGCAGGAAGTCAGACAAGAGCACTATGCAGGGAGTCATAGAAGAACACTATGTAGGCAGTCAGAGAAGAGCACTATGTAGGCAGTCATAGAAGAACACTATGTAGGCAGTCAGAGAAGAGCACTATGCAGGGAGCCAGAGAAGAGCACTATGTAGGCAGTCAGAGAAGAGCACTATGTAGGCAGCCATAGAAGAGCACTATGTATGGAGTCAGAGAAGAGCACTATGTAGGCAGTCAGAGAAGAGCACTATGTAGGCAGCCATAGAAGAGCACTATGTATGGAGTCAGAGAAGAGCACTATGTAGGCAGTCAGAGAAGAATAAGCGACTTACAAAGAACTGGTGTCGTGAGCCGCTACACATGGTTTCCAAACACTTGTGGACTGAATGGTTCCATGTGCAATGAGAATAATCTGTCGACTAATTAACATATCTCCATAACAAGGTCACGTGATGTTTTTATGTGTTCTGACTTCAGAGGGTAACTGTTTCGATCCACCAGCCGTGAATCTACTTGCCATTCTTATCTTCTCTCAATATTCTTCTTCTTTCATTCGCTTGAAAAAAGATTATCTATATCTGCAATGTTGTCTCTAGAATGAACTTTACTGTCTGTAGTGATTTAATCAGGGACCCATACAGTTTTAAGTTGCACAAATGTTTTTCGCGGCCAAAACTTGTCCCTTGATATGTTGTACCATGGACTTGAAGGACTTGATCTGTTGTCTCCGGTTCTAATCCACATGTACACATGGCTAATTCACCGACACGTGGCTGCCAAGTCGACTTCTAAGGCGTAAAATAGTGGCTTCTTTGGTCTCTCTATTAAATTGTAATGTCTTTTACCGGTTTTGGTGGCTTTCTGTTGATAAGAGAATGGTACCTCAGTTTGTTCAATTGCTCCTTCCTTAGCTAGTTAAAAGGCTCTTTCATTTCCGGGAACTCCGCATGGGATGGTATCCTTTGCATAGCTAACTTGCACCGGCTGGCTAGTTCAGAGAGAAGTTTCCGTATACCTGATAGTTTTCTAGGTTGGAGTGCCTGAAGTACAGCTCTTGCATCTGTCTGAATTACCACCGGTTGTGAACAATGACACAAATTTAGTAGTTTCTCTACTGTTATTTTGATGGCTTGAACTTCAACGCCATAGTTGTGCCAGGGCTTTCCATTTGGTATTTTGGCTGTATATCTTGGGTTATTTGGATGCTCAATGTATACTCCTGCTCCTCGATTTCTGCTTGCGTTTTGTGCTGACCCATCCGTGTAAACACCAACCCAAAGATTATGTAGCTAATTATCATCATGTAGAGTGAGGGTGCCTGTTTTACGCTACACTCTTTTGTTCTTCCTTGTCAATTACTACTTTCCGTTCTGTCTGGATGTGTGTAGGCAACATCTGTTCTGTCTGGATGTGTATAGGCAACATCCGTTCTGTCTGGATGTGTATAGGCAACATCCGTTCTGTCTGGATGTGTGTAGGCAACATCCGTTCTGTCTGGATGTGTGTAGGCAACATCCGTTCTGTCTGGATGTGTGTAGGCAACATCCGTTCTGTCTGGATGTGTATAGGCAACATCCGTTCTGTCTGGATGTGTATAGGCAACATCCGTTCTGTCTGGATGTGTGTAGGCAACATCCGTTCTGTCTGGATGTGTGTAGGCAACATCCGTTCTGTCTGGATGTGTGTAGGCAACATCCGTTCTGTCTGGATGTGTGTAGGCAACATCCGTTCTGTCTGGATGTGTGTAGGCAACATCCGTTCTGTCTGGATGTGTGTAGGCAACATGTAATCCACTCTCCAGTGGGTCCGATCTGGAATATAATTTAAGGGGCTATCGGTTTCAGGCAGATCAATGGTTTGACTGGAGAGTCTTTGGGCCTGCTGGATAAAACTGCTTCTTTTTAGTCTCGCTGTTGATAGATTTTGGATTCTTTCTTCCATAGAGTGTTCAGGCATGATAAGAAATATGTCTGCTTGTATTAGTACTTTGTTGTCTCTGCGTTCTGTCAGTGTTAGGATCATCGCCTTTTTCTCCCCCTCTATCTCAGTATAATTTAAACAGTCCCTTCTCCTTCCTACCCCACCCCATCTTTGCGATGTCTTCAAAACATAAATGGTTTCCATAGCTGAAAATTCCTGCCAACGTAACATTGACATTTAATGCTAAAGTTTTTCCATAAACAAAGCGTTTCTCTGAAACCAATACGGGACAGGGCATACCCGACTACCAGAGACATGTTAATATTTGCAGAGATTGAACTCAATGAAACTGCTGGGTTCCATAAACTTACGTGACGTCAGAGAGAATTTCTTTCTCGCCCTTGCTCCCGAACCAGAAGTTGGAAGATTTGACCTTGTAGGTGATGTTGTGAGCCGACAAGACGGATCCCTGAGGCTGGGTCTGGACAACCTGGCCGCTCTTGTCCGTCAGTCCGTTCACTGAGGGGTCCATCTTCAGATAGCTGGGGAACGAGATCATCGTCTCGGTTCACTGGCTGCACACCTGGCCCGTCAGTGGCAAGCTCTGGAGAAATGATTCAGCAGATCTGAGATAAAAGTTGCTACTAGAGAAAGAGTCAGATATAGTGGGGAATTTCTTCTGTAAGGTTCCTTTGTATACGATTTTTGTTTTTATGGCTGCTGTATGTAAGGTTGCTGCATGTGAGGTTGTTGTATGTAAGGTTGTTCTATGTACGACTGCTGTATGCAAGCCTACTGTATGTAATGTTTCCGTATGTAACTTTCCTGTATGTAAGGTTGTTGTATGTAAGGTTCCTGTATGTAAGGTTGTTGTATGTAAAGTTCCTGTATGTAAGGTTGTTGTATGTAAGGTTCCTGTATGTGAGGTTGTTGTATGTTAGGTTCCTTTATGTAAGGTTGTTGTATGTAATGTTCCTGTATGTAAGGTTGTTGTATGTAAGGTTCCTGTATGTAAAGTTGTTGTATGTAAGGTTGTTGTATGTAAGGTTGTTGTATGTAAGATTGTTGTATGTAAGGTTGTTGTATGTAAGGTTCATGTATGTGAGGTTTGTGTACGTAAGGTTGTTGTATGTAAGGTTATGGTTGAGTTGAGTTGAGCCAAGAATCGACATCACAGCAGTCGGGGCATTCCCATGCAAGCTCCGTCCTCATCTTGACTCGCCAGCGCAGTTTCAATACTGATGGTACCAGTCACAATCTGGTTAAATGTCCGTCTTGCCTTTCCTTTGCGTGTGTTGAGCCGGCCAGACACTCTGGTTACACCCAGGGGCCTCATTCTCTCCAGGCCATAATAATTTTCTTTCTCTATTATTCCGTTGATTGTTCCCAAAGGGCCTTGACCACATCTGCCTTGTCATGTATCAATTCACTACCCAGTGGTGCGGATCCAGCCAATCTGTCTGCCTGTTTATTACCCACCACGCAGTCACAGCTTCGAGAAAATATCCAAAGTATGCTCACTACCTGTGACGTTTCCAGTGAAGCTTGCCTCTCTGCTCGAAGCATCCCTGTCTTCACCTTTTTCAGTAAAGAGTGAACAGCATTCTCTGCCCTACGTCCATCGCTGCCATAATCGTTAGTGCATTTTGTCACAACTCCCTCTATGTGATCCCTGTATGTAAGGTTGTTGTACAAGGTCAGACAACTAAATAATGCCTGATTTATTCTCATTATCTTTGTCTTCTTTTTATGGATTTTCAGACCAAGCTGCTGTTATCTCGCATCAAGTATATTTAATGTATCTTGCATCTGATTGCGTGAATTGGACAAAGGAGAAATATTATCAGCGAAGTCCATCAAGCTGTTTTGTAGGGGTCCACTGAATTCCATTCTTGGTGTCAGCAGTTACTGTTTTCATAATCCAGTTTATAGCCAGTAAAAATAAGAAAGGCAACAAAAGACATCCCTGTCGCACACCTGTTTTTATTTCAAATGTATGTAACGTTCCTATATATAAGGTTCCTGTATGTAAGGTTTCTGTATGTAAGGTTGTTGTATGTAAGGTTATTTTTTGTACGGTTGTTCTATGTATGACTGCTGTTTGCTAAGTGCCTCTAAGTAAGGTTCCTGTATGTAAGGTTGTTGAATGTAAGGTTCCTGAATGTGAGGTTGTTGTATGTTAGGTTCCTGTACGTAAGTTTGTTGTATGTAAGGCTGCTGTATGTAGGTTTCCTGTCTGTAATGTTGCTGTATGTAAGGCTGTTGTGTGTAAGGTTGTTCTGTGTATTACTGCTGTATGCAATTTTTCTGTATATAATGTTGTATGTAAGTTTCCTGTATGTAAGTTTGTTGTATATATGGTTCCTGTATATAAGGTTTTTCTAAATAAGGTTCCTTTATGTAAGGTTGTCAAATGTAAGTTTGTTGTATTTAAGGTTCCTGTATATAAGGTTGTTGTATGTAAGGTTTTGTATGTAAGGTTTTGTATGTAAGGTTTCTGTATGTAGGGTTGTTGTACGTATGGCAGCTCTATGTAAGGTTATCGAATTTGTTGTATGTAAAGTACACATATGTAAGATTTTAGAGTCCTTATGTACCGACAATGATATCGCTACTGGGATAGTATTTTAAAATTCTGATTGTATTATTGATAATTTTTCTCTAAATAATAGATGATGTGATTGAGATGGGCCCCTAAAATTCCACAGCGATACTGGGATATAATCTGAATCAATAATATCACCATATCAGAGTGGTTTTTTGTTTTTGATACTCTTTAATTAACATTAGGTTTTAGTCCAGCGAGAAAGCCGTAAGGAGTCCGGATCGTTGACTTACCTCCTCTCAGCTAGGAAAACCTCCAGAATTGGCACCTGGAATAATAAGGAAGGCCAAAAAACACATGGAGAAGAGAGCTGGAGAATGAGGTTAGAAAGATTGGGAGGACACGGGGAGAGCTCCATGTAATGGCGAAGGATAGAACGACTTGGCGTGAGTTGGTTGAGGACCTATGCTCCATTGGGGGATAGAAAGACAGAAGAAGACAAGAAGAATCTTGTATATTGTTTTCATTAGATTTGCAATGACTGTATGTGTAAGGGACTGTAACACGTGTGACGATGTGTTGTAGACAATAGGGAAGACTTTGGCAGGAGACAGTGTATGCCTATGGTCGCTGATGAAGATGACGTGCAGCTTGGAATGTGCAAAAAGTCCCTGGAGCTCGTATCGGGACCTCCATCCTCAAGATCAACATCACCACCATCATCTTGTGCGAAGGGAATCCATCATTCCAGACTGGAGAAGCGATAAGTGTTGTTGTACGACTTGATTGTAGATTAGTCTTGTCGTGTTCTTCTCTCATAGGGGGTTCCAGTCTGTCGTTATGGCTGATTGACCCCGTGTATAATCTTTCGTCTATCCTTTCCATTATGGTAAAGTAAGGGAGAACAAAAATTTTCGTGTCAGCTGTATCTAGTTTCTAGACTCGCCGGCAACTTCCAGCTGCATACTGGCATACTGTCGAAGTGCATACCTGTAGAGCTTTGTTAGTATTTAGTCATTATCTTAACGTTTGTGCCATCTTGTTCATCAGTGTGTACTAAAGTAAGTTATTCGTGCGTTCGGGTCTTGCGTTAAATTTAGACCACAACTTTCGAATTAGTGTTATCATGTGTTAATTTTTGTTTGTAACGTCAACAACGCCTTATTGTAAGTATGTTTTGTTTACACACCGATCATCCACTCTCATTATAAAACATTGTGAGAAGTAGCTTTGGTATTCTAGTCCCACATATTCGGCCTTATACATTCAAACTGTTTTCAACTGATTGCTGCTCAGTATTAATCTGTCATATCAATATTGCATTGTGTTCCTATGGTCTGTATACTGCATGCATATACTATTTATATTGCACATTTTTTGGTGCTAATTATTGTTTTGAAATTTTTTAAAATTAAATATTGCAAATTGTGAACTGTTTAAAAAGATTTAGTCTTGCTGAATTTATTGAGATGACAAGACAGCTAGTCTGATTTGTGAATCTTCTTTCGTCTTCTTCTTCTCTTCTTCTTCTTCTTCTTCTTCTTCTTCTTCTTCTTCTTCTTCTTCTTCTTGCTTCTTCTTTTCTTCTTCTTTCGTCTTCTCTTCTTCTTCTTCTTCTTCTCTTCTTCTTCTTCTTCTTCTTCTTCTTTCTTCTTCTTCTTCTTCTTCTTCTTCTTCTTCTTCTTCTTCTTCTTCTTCTTCTTCTTCTTCTTCTTTCTTCTTCTTTCTTCTTCTTCTTCTTCTTCTTCTTCTTCTTCTTCTTCTTCTTCTTCTTCTTTCTTCTTCTTCTTCTTCTTCTTCTTCTTCTTCTTCTTCTTCTTCTTCTTCTTTCTTCTTCTTCTTCTTCTTCTTCTTCTTCTTTCTTCTTTCTTCTTCTTCTTTTCTTCTTCTTCTTCTTCTTCTTCTTCTTCTTCTTCTTCTTCTTCTTCTTCTTCTTCTTCTTCTTCTTCTTCTTCTTCTTCTTCTTCTCTTCTTTCTTCTTCTTCTTCTTCTTTCTTCTTCTTCTTCTTTCTTCTTCTTCTTTCTTCTTCTTCTTCTTTCTTCTTCTTCTTTCTTCTTCTTCTTCTTTCTTCTTCTTCTTCTTTTCTTCTTCTTCTTTCTTCTTCTTCTTCTTTCTTCTTCTTCTTCTTCTTTCTTCTTCTTCTTTCTTCTTCTTCTTCTTTCTTCTTCTTCTTCTTTCTTCTTCTTCTTTCTTCTTCTTCTTCTTCTTCTTCTTCTTCTTCTTCTTCTTTCTTCTTCTTCTTCTTCTTCTTCTTCTTCTTCTTTCTTCTTCTTCTTCTTCTTCTTTTCTTCTTCTTCTTCTTCTTCTTCTTCTTCTTCTTCTTTCTTCTTCTTCTTCTTCTTCTTCCTTCTTCTTCTTCTTCTTTCTTCTTCTTCTTCTTCTCTTCTTCTTCTTCTTCTTCTTCTTCTTCTTCTTCTTTCTTCTTCTTCTTCTTCTTCTTCTTCTTCTTCTTCTCTCTTCTTCTTCTTCTTTCTTCTCTTCTTCTTCTTCTTCTTCTTCTTCTTCTTCTTCTTTCTTCTTCTTCTTCTTCTTCTTCTTCTTCTTCTTCTTCTTCTTCTTCTTCTTCTTCTTCTTCTTTCTTCTTCTTCTTCTTCTTCTTCTTCTTCTTCTTCTTCTTCTTCTTCTTCTTCTTCTTCTTCTTCTTCTTCTTCTTCTTCTTCTTCTTTCTTCTTCTTCTTCTTCTTCTTCTTTCTTCTTCTTCTTCTTCTTTCTTCTTCTTCTTCTTCTTCTTCTTCTTCTTTCTTTCTTCTTCTTCTTCTTCTTCTTCTTCTTCTTCTTTCTTTCTTCTTCTTCTTCTTCTTCTTCTTCTTCTTTCTTCTTCTTCTTCTTCTTCTTCTTCTTCTTCTTCTTCTTCTTTTCTTCTTCTTCTTCTTTTCTTCTTCTTCTTTCTTCTTCTTCTTCTCTTCTTCTTCTTCTTCTTCTTCTTCTTCTTCTTCTTCTTCTTCTTCTTTCTTCTTCTTCTTCTTCTTCTTCTTCTTCTTTCTTCTTCTTCTTCTTTCTTCTTCTTCTTTTT